AGGAAGAGGCCAGGGCCAAGGGGGCCGGGCCTCAGGGAGCCGGTTTCAGGGCGATCAGGGGGTTGGCGGCAGAGGAGGAAACCGCCAAGCGGGAGGCAGGGGTCAAGGTCCCTCGCAAAACCGTCCTAGGAATAGGTCTCCCTATAGAGTAGGAGGATGGCACCCAGGGCTACCTCAGGGTAGGCCTTGGGAATCTTTGGGTCTGGACCAGGACTTATGGCAAAAACGATTGGACCGGGGTCAGTGCATTTTTTGCGGTGACCCGGGCCATATCATCAAATATTGTCCCAAGTATAGAGAGACCCGAACGGCTGCCCCAGGGCCAAAAGGCAGCCGCCGGTAGGGGTAGCAACTGCCCCTACCATTAGGCCATGTGGGGAACATAGCGCTAGCCGGCAGGAGACTCCCACACCACATGTGCCTACAGCAGAGGTTGCAGGCCGGTGTCTAGACAGCTGTCTCGAAACTGCTTGTGTTAGAGTTTCGCTAGACACCTCCCTCACAGGCGTGGCCGAAGAGGAGAGGATGCCCGCCTGGGCCAAGATGAAGAAGGAGAACAAAGGGCAGCTTATATTACTAGATATAGATATTTTTAGAAGTAGAGTAGGGGCCCTAGTAGACTCAGGGGCCACTCGCAACTATATTAGTAGGAAAGCGCTGCAGAAGTTGAGGCTGGGACTTAAAGTCCAGAAACTGACAGAGCCCATAGTTAGTATCCTCGCAGACAATCGTACTATGATTGTAGAGGATTACGTAGAGGGAGTCCAGGCGTATTTCCGCCTAGAGAAAGATGGGAAAGTGGAGAAGGTCCTCCACTCCCTGACTCTCCTCGTAGAGGACAGCCTCCCATTTGACATTGTCCTGGGAATGGATTGGGGAGAGGCAGCCGGGGCCACGCTCCATTTGAAGGAGCACGAGTGTAGGGTCCCTAGTTCGTCAGGCGAGGCCAAGACTGCCCGCCTGTTCCATGTGTCACGGGTAGAGAATTCCTTGGCGCACTGCTGCCTTAGTGCCCTCGCGTTCGCCAGACTGGTGAAGAAGGAGGGATTGGAGGAACAGGTCTTTGTTGCCTATGTTAGGCCAGTGACTGAGCCTACGGAGGAGAAGCCGATGGACCCCGCGATTGCCAAGCTGCTGGAAGAGTTTAAGGATTTGACTGAGCCGTCGACAGGCACGGTGCCGCGGCCCATCCAGCACCGTATTGAGATAGAGCCTGGCAGTAGAACTCCTAAGGGTGCGGTGTAAAGGATGTCCCCGCGGGAGTTAGAGGAGTTGCGGAAACAGTTGGACGAACTCCTTGAAAAGGGTTGGATTAGGCCCAGTTCGTCTCCTTTTGGAGCCCCTGTTCTCTGTGTACCTAAGAAAGAGGGAGAGCTAAGGATGTGTATAGACTATAGGGGTCTGAATGCCATTACAGTGAAGAATGTTGAGCCACTGCCTAGGATAGACGATCTGTTAGATTGAGTGCAGGGGGCGAAGTATTTCTCCAAGATAGATTTGAAGTCCGGATATCATCAGATAGAGGTACATCGTGATGACCAGTACAAGACGGCCTTCCGGAGTAGGTATGGGCACTACGAGTTCATGGTGATGCCCTTTGGACTAACCAATGCGCCAACTACGTTCCAGCGCTGTATGAACGATTTGTTTAGGCCGTGGTTAGACAGGTTTGTTGTAGTTTATCTATATGACATTCTAGTGTTTAGCAAGACCCTCGAAGAGCATCAGGGTCATCTCAGGCAGGTCTTGGAGAAGTTGAGGGAAGCTAACTTCAAGATCACTGCAAAGAAGTGCGATTGGGCAAAGACCCAAGTTTTGTACCTAGGCCACGTCTTAGACGGAGACGGTGTTAAGCCAGAAGATMGCAAGATCGCAGCGATTAGAGATTGGCCCACGCCACGTACGCTGACAGAGTTGCGCTCGTTCCTGGGCCTAGCTAACTACTATAGGAAGTTCGTGAGGAACTTCTCCGCCATCGCTGCGCCCCTTCGCAGATTGCTAAGAAAAGAGACAATCTGGAAGTGGGACAAGGACTGCACGTCTGCCATGAAGAAGCTAAAGCAGGC